GAGCAGGGAGCCCGATGTGGGACTCGATCCCAGGACCCTGGGATCCTGACCTGAGCCGAAGGCAGACGCTGAACGACTGAGCCACCCAGGCGCCCCAATTTGTACTTTCTTTAAAAACCTGGCCATGTCACACTGGGAAGGAATCGCGCATTCCTACGGGCTGGAAAACGGTGCTGAGAGCGCCAATGAAACGGACAAAGAAACAGTCCCTGAAGATCCCGGCCACCTTGAACACGGCTTACGGCTCTCCATCCACACACACCCGCACACGCACACCACACGAAGGTGTTTCTCGGCCAACTTTCGGCTGGTGCAAAACACTGATCTGCTGTCCCTCAAAAAGCGCTAAAACCTCCCGAAGATGCTCTGGGGGAGCATGTGCCCCCCCCCCCCACAGCAGCAACTGCAGGAGACTTACAGCAATCCACCCCTGTCCACTCATAAAAACAAAATCAACGCTCAAACCACACAAATGAAGTGTTCGCTCCTTGGAGAGAGGCTTCAAGGTATTTTTTACGAAAGTCCCACTTCTTTTTTCTTTTCTTTGAGCAGCTGTACTTTTATTTTAGCCCAAAGCTTAACATTAGGGGGAAAAAAACAAAATTTAAATAAATTGCAATATATCTAAAGTTGAGAACAGGTATTTTTTGTCTCCAAGGATAGAAAGTAAATTCTGTTTAATTAAAAACCAAACAAAAAAAAATAAATAAAAACCAAACGTTTATGATCATCTGCCTTTTTACAGCACTTTGTAGCAATTGCAGTAATTGTTAGTTACTCGCTTTACAAGCAAAAAGACGAAATCTGGAACTGGCAAAGACCTCCCAGAGTGTGCAGCCCCCTTGCTTGCAGACAGGACACTGGTGGCAGACACACCCTGCGTGGTGGGGGCGGCAGGCACACCTCCAACGGGGCCATCTGCACTGAGCCTCATCTTTCCCCAAGGTCCCATTTCCTACTGAAGACCACGTGCCGCCGTCTCCTGCGGGTCGTGGACAGGTGGCGAGTGCGGAAGGCACTCAGCCAGGCGGCCTCCACGCTGGCCCTTCGTGCACCCCCTGGCTTTCCCTCTGGGACCTCTTAGACCTGCAAGCCAGCAGGCGCCCCTGTTTTGCCAACCGTGATGATCCTGTTCCGTGTGCCTCTCTTGACAACCTCTACCTTGTATTTTCTTCCGACCCCTGGTCCAGTGCTGGAGCTGTCACGAACTCAGTGGTATGAGCACAGGACACACCCACCCCACAGGGATGCGACCGGGTCCACGGAAGCCCTCGCCACGCAGCCCCCAGCTGAGCCAGCACCAGCCGCCACAGGCAGCAACGGGCTCCCACTCTTTAGGGCCCCCATTCCCATCCATCCGCTAGCAATTCAAAGGCCACAACACGAGTTAGCGTCTGTCTCCCCAAGGAGATAATCTCTTCCCACCCCTAGAGGAGAAATAATGAGGGTCCTGCCATAGAACCAACTTGTAGCCACCCGGTTCTAGCATTCCACTACTTAGGTGATTCTGTCGCCTCATCTTGGTTACATTTCAAAAATCAAAGACTTTTCTGCAAATTAATTCAAATGGCACAATGCAGTTACCACATGACACTTCAACTGTTAAATTAAATCCATTATGTCACAGCAGCAAAGGATTGCACTAAAATCCAAGATTTTCTCCCAGACAGTATGTAGATTGTATCAAAGGCTCTTCTAAAGCTTTTTTTTTTTTTTTTTAAAGATTTATTATTTGACAGAGAGCACAAGCAGAGGGAGCTGGGAAGGGAGAAGCAGACTCCCTAATGAGCGGGAGCCCGATGCAGGGCTTGACCCCAGGACCCTGCAACCATGACCTGAGCCAAAGGCAGATGCTTCACCGACTGAGCCAGGCAGCCACCTAGGGGGCTCCCCCTCCCTTTATCTTTGTAAGATTTTATGTGTTGCGTCTTTAGGAAAAGAGCATCAGCATTCTGACACACAATTTAGCTGAACACATTTATATACACCAGTTTCTTAAAATGAAAATTTAGCCCCGCACACACCAAGGGAACCAGTCAAGAGCCCATTAAACTGCGTTTAGACGTGCGCGCACGTGCAGTTTGATGTTGGCCTGGCGGTGCTCGAAGCGTGGGGAAGGGAGCCCATGGTGAAGTTTCACTTGCTCTTAAACTTTCTCCCGTGGATTTTCTTCATACAGAACAGATGATTTGGGGCCACTTAAGTCTTGTTCTTCATGTTGACAGGAATCTGAAATCCTCAGATGTTCAGGAAACGGGAAGACACAAATGGGGCCCCTTCAGCAGCAACTGTGTAGAGATGCAACCCTTGGAGGCCGCTGCAGGGCGTGACTTGCTGTCCACTGCGCCCCCACCT